CATTTTTTTCTTAACATAAGTCTTGACCAATCATTATTACAACTTCGGCAGAAGTTTACAGGCAGGCGATAACGCAGCTACAGGGTGTTGACACGGTTGGCCGACATTCGCATGTATACAATCAGCAGAATTTAGTATGCTGACAAGCGCTCACAGGTAAGCTTCCCCCCATTCACCCCGCCTCCCGCGAGACTTTTGGCGCCCACTCATTTAGAAACATGAGATTCCCCTAGACTAGACGCAATGCGTGCCTAAATGTGTCGGGAGAGCTAACCTCTGTGTCGTATTCAGCAGACTGTATCACACAAAACGTTTATTGAAGCATTGTGTTGAGAGTCTAAGCAAAGTTGAGTCCAGATTTATAACCACTTCAGCTGACTGAATATATTAATAGTAGACAATATCAGAAACTATACTAAAGTCACATCAGTAAAATGAGAAGCGAGCAATCAAGTTCTGACTGAGTGATCAATTATTGTGTGAGAGTAAGTGCTTGGCTGAAACACCATCTCCAGTTGGTCGAATTCAACTTTGCGTCCACCATGTCGATTTTTTAGAATCTAAAAGTCTTTCATTTTCAAAAAAAAACGAAGCTGTTGATAGAATCGTTCTTGGGAAGCGAAGCAGTTTGGTGGAATTTCTATCAGGTTGGAAAGTTCTGCGGCACGTTGAACGAAATACTCTAGAGAAAAATCAAAAAAATATTTAGATTGTTTTCACCTCTGATGAACGGTCACTGTTCTCCGAGGTTCTGGCAGACAGGTATATTATGGCTTTTTGAAAGCTCTTATAGCTTAGAGGTCCCCTAAAGTTGAGGTACTTTTCGGCCTATCGTGTAATATGTGTACTTGTAAGGCCACTTTGTCGAAGTCGAGAGAGCTAACACTTGCGTCGCTTTCGAAAGATTGTCACTTGCCATACCACAGTGCTCATTGGCATCAGCGCTTGCAAGCTGGATTTATTATGTTGGAAGGTAAGCAACTTATAGGTCGGCCACCAGTACAGAATGACAGCCATTTACTCAGCCCCCTGAAGGCGTAGCCGAACGCAGCTACCCGTGAACCGGCAACATCTCTAGGCTGCACCTGAATGAAATTATCATGCTTGTTTGCAATCCTGGTTATGGGGGAAATTTCCTATGAAGGATGCCACATGAGTTGCACCAGTCTGACAAAGCGCTATGCGTGGTCTGCTTGGGTCTTCTCTTCATTGCACACATTGGAAGGACATTTGTGGAATGCTAGGGTTGGTAACGAGAGCTGGGTTCCTTGCGTAAACCAAGCGCATATCGTTCACAGGATCTCTCATGGAAAAAGTGGCCTGCTCAGTCGAAAGCAGAACTGCTTAGAAAAAGCTTTCACTGCGCTATTGGTGAGACTTCGAAGCGCTGGATATTGGCGCAGATATGACGGCCACTATCAACTTCGAAACATGGATGACGTCACGCCTGATTTCTTTCAAAAACACTCAGTTTTTTTCTTTTCCTCGGTAATGCGAAAAGGCATGTGATAATGAGGCTATGTCAAAAAATCCAGGGATTGTGACTGTACCCAGATTGTTCATCTAACTTAGCAACCTCTGATTACCACCTACTTTATCCCTACTGCATCCTTTAAAAAGCAAAAAATTTGACAATCGATGTTTACTGAATGAGGGGGTCTAGCTCTTTTTTCCGTAATATTTGGAGTAGTTCCGTGAAAGCGGAATCGAGAAACTGTGAGAAGAGTGGGCGCTCGTCGTAGCCATTAATGGTGATTATTTTGTAGACTGGAGGTGTTGCTGTAAAAAGGAATTTCGCCAGGAATTATGGCCAGAGTGTTGCAAGGCTTTCTTTCCAACCTAATAAAGCCCAACGTTTTAGTGTCGAGTAGCACTACGAGTTCCTGTGTGCAATAATTTATTTGGGCCTTGTATTAGAATACACGTGTGTCACAAAATACTTTCATGCTCACGATACTGTAGAAGGCAAGACTATGGCGGTTTCGGAGAACGGAAAAGTTGTTCCACAGTCAGTTATTTGTATACAGTGTGAAACCATTCAGTTGCCTCCACGTACTAGAATTCAACTGAAATCAGGCGAACCTTACGCAGTGATTAAGAAGACGAACACTAGTTAATCATGAACGAGTTTATGACGTCAAAAAACAGAATTTCTGAAATTTTGATATTAATCTGAATTTAAAATAAGTCATTCCTTGTAATGTTGCCCATCCTACTGACCCTTACTTCTGCGGGAAAAAATCTTCTGCGAAACTGTGAACAGAAGGAGACTACGTAATAGATGGAATTAGAGAGACTCATCAATGCAGTGCTTTCGTAATCTCGGTAGGTTAGCTAATAGATGGTCGGTTGATCGCTGACAGGGCAGATAACATATATGGAGAGAAGTGTGTAATATTGAAGAAAATTTCGTGCAGTATTTTTTTATGAACGGATGGCATTCTTACACGGATCCAAAAGGTATGACTCAGACTAGGGGTTTACTCCTGTGAAAAGGTGTGAATTATGGTGTGAAGTGAAGGCTCGAAGTTCACAGCTGATGACAACAATTAGTCTGAAAATTTTGAGTGGTCCCCAATGAAATTTTCTGAACAGCACAGCAGCTCTTGTGTAGCCTTTTTATGGAACTTCTGGGGCTGAATTAGTACGTGCACTCTAAGTCCTAGTTAAAAACGCTGGAAATCGGAAATCTTCCCTGATATCGTGCGCAGCCATCGAATGAAGTAGCTGGAAACCCTTTTTCTGACACCACTCTTCAACTTCGCGGACGTTACAGAAGAAAAGGCTCTGCACATTAGCCCGTTGTGCTCATGTGGTCTGAGCTTAGCCAATGCTCGAGTCTCTAATTCAGAAAAGTAGGCACCGTGATGATCACGATCGTTTGGGTAACACAACTATCTGTTTCCCAATAATTTCTTACCCAAGGTTACAGACAAGAACTGCTTGCTAACGAGTACCCTCAAGTGCTTCGATGGGAGCAGACTTCAAAATTAGACTCTCTCAGTTTTCAGAAAACCAGCTTATAGAACTCGACGAGCGGAGTCTAGCGATGCGAATCTCTATATATGAAATGCTAGCAAACTGAATTAAAGCAGAAAAAAACGAAAAAAAATGCAAAGTAGCACTTTTTTCGAACATTGAGGATGGGTATTGTAGTAAATATCAGTGTTAAAAGCAATGGAAATGAAACCCTCTTTAACAACATGACAATGGTTCACGTTTGGCCACACTTACTCAATTACAAGTTTTAATGTAGTTGAATCAAGATTGTCCATATGATAGGTCTTAGATAGTAGTACGTTCTATTCGAGAAGATTAGGCCCTGCAAAGCAATCACAAGAAGAAGCGCTCGGAGAGATGGGAACGTGCTACAAGAAGAGGGCTTGTATCTTCATAATGAAATGAACAAATCGAACAGAAAAGCGAACACTATCGCTGGTTCGAGTAGATAGAAGGGAAGTACTGCTGAGAGAGCCGCCTTGACAACTAAAAAATTCTGAAGAGAGCTGTGGTCTTTTAGGACTTCCTTTTTTGCTAATTTTGCTAATATCGCTCGGGAACTATCAACAAATCATTAATTGTACTCAAGCGTATCATTTGTGCAATGATTCGCTTTTCGAAAAACATCAAAACAAACTAGTGTCGAAAGCAATATCTGGCACTACTCACATGAAGAAATTTTCTGAATTTCCCACGATCACGATCATCACGCCTTCTCTGGATAGCTAGCACATTATCCGCTTCCTGTGTCACGCGAGCAGAGCCGCCAAAATGTTGTATGTCCAGTTCCGAGTCCGCCTCAATTTGAATATGTAATATACACTGCTGTCAGCTAGTACGGTTGCACAGTTGTGGATGGAACTTAGCAGGCTAGTTGTCCCACATAAGATTTTCTTGGATGAACCACCATTGTTATGTGAACACCATACTGCGTTGCCAGAGCTCGCATGTGCCCAACAAAACGATCCTGCAAAGATAATGCTAGGCAGAGAAATTAAGTGTTTACTATGTCCGCAGTCAATATTTTTCAACGACTTCCTATTAATAGTATGGAGAAAACAATTCGGATTGGAAGATGACTATCAGTAATTCAGATTTTTCATATGACAATTACAGCATTTTCTTCGCCGCCACGACCTTCTCAATAGGGTCTGTAGGGTTACAGAAAACCATTTTGAACGGAACTCACCTTCGTAGACTAACAGTCACATTGATCGATTCAGCGGACCTAGAACATGCGAAAGAAGTTCCTTTACAATGCTCTATGTATAAACTTCAATGGCAGTTGGATATGAACTTTGTTCCCATTACCGTGTCTTCTCACTTCCCCCACGCATGACGGTCTCAGAAGACACCGTTTGAACCCCTTTTTACACCGACTATTGTCTCCGTAGACGATGAAGTGCTCATCGTAGTATAGTTTCCGCGCTCACGAAAAACAGCCACCACTATTCAGTTATCCTGCCCTACAGCAGGGTCAAGCTTACGTTGGGGAATTCGCACGCAACGGGGAGTGGGCGTCCCGACTCCCTCGGCAGGGGAAGGGTGTATGAATTTCGGTGAGTAGGTCACCAGCTCCTCCTTGAAAGCAGGCCAAAATCCCATTTTTGACTTCTCGAGACAGAGCCGGTCCTGTTCTTCTTCCGTCTCCTCAATTCACCGCTAAGTTTCCTTTTCCAACCACTTGAGGCTCTTCAGCCCGAATTTTGGACAATAGTCGGTGGACCTAATTTTACTATTTTTGCAATTAAGGTGCATTTCTCATAATGTAGCAGAGTGTGCGAAATCGCTGAACGGCTGTGCTCTCACTTTAGTTCTACACAGGAAACTCATAGTATGTCTCATTATAGCGGGGCACATCTTTCACAATGTGGTCCTAAACATCAGTGTTTGTCCTAGTATGGCGTGATAAGCGCATTTTTTTCATTTTGATGTTAGCACATTATCGTAACGGGTATAGTAAGCTAATAGGCTAGAAAATCTACGAATAACAACATGCTGTAGCATCATATTATATAACCGAGGACCAGTCCTATGCTTGCTACAGTGCAATAAAGCTTGCTTTTCGCTGCATTTTCCACATTATTGGTGGCCGGTCAAATTCAAGGAAGCCTATCGGAACCTACACGATAAGATTCTGCAAGGAAAATGCTATCTAACGATGTAACAAACATCTCTTTTCGGCAAAGCCAATCTTTTTTTGCCATCATCTCATTCTTCTCGATGGCTGGGGAAGGCGATCATTCTCTCTTTGACTCTTGGCCCTTTACCTAGATTTGCGGCTTCAGATAGGGAATCCCACACCGCTAGACTCAGCTCATCGAGCTCTACATGATATTGCCTTCAAATCATGGAAACCTTCTCAGTTTGATTACTCCAATCCTATCAAAGTACCTAAGGAACTAATGAGCAAGAGCCGCTTGCCATGATAATTGCCAGAGGCAAGCAGGCCCTCTCAAGGCACTTTCCATTGGCACAATATAGAGGTGCTACGTAGCATAGTGCACGGTTTATTGCAGCAAGCACAAGACTGACCCTGAACCAGACCGCTCTCGATTATATGATACCACACAGTTCTTCCTCAGAACTGTTAATGCCTTCTGGCTTACTATACCCGTTACGATGATGTGCCGACATGAAATTGAAAGAAATTTGATTATTACGTTAGACTAGGACAAACACTGATCTTTGGGACCACCTTATGAAAGGTCTGCTTCCCTATAATGGAAAATGCTGTGAGTTTTCCGTGTGGAACACTACTAGATTATGAGAAATGCACCTTCAAAACTGCACAAATAGTAAAATCAGGTTTACCGACTGTTATTCAGAATTCGGGCTGAACAGCACCAAATGGTTGGAAAAGAAAACTTAGTGATGAATTAAGGAGCCCGAAACAAAAATAAAAATCGCTTTCGTCTCCAGAAGTCAAAAAGGGATTTTGGCCTGCTTCCAAGGAGAAGCTGGTGGATTATTCACCAAAATCCTTACACCGTTGAATTCGTCACGGAGAGGCGAACCTGATGGTATCCCTCACTTTTCATTCCACCTTCCAGTAAAAGAGTTATGGCCGTGCGGCGCTTCGCGGCGGTTTGCAGCGGATCACTCCGCCCTTTCCACTCAAATTAGGAGCGGTATTATACTTACATGGTGAATAGGAACTGCAGCACGGAGGCGCTGATGAACATCCCTATGGAATGCCCCATGCCCCAACTTCCTTTCCGGACGCATATCCTGCAAGCTACTTCGCTACTTTGTTGACTACCGTCCTCTGCAGATACGAGCCCTCCCATCCCGAGGGAGCACATATACATGGAGCATTGTGAAGGAACTTCTTTCATATGTTCTAGGTCCGCTTAATAGATCAATGGGACTGTTAGTCTACGAAGGTGAGTTCCGTTTTGCAGAATGGATTTCTTATGAACCAAGAATCGTAGCTGAAAGAGGTCGCGGCGGCGAAGAAAATGCTGCAGTACTCATATGGAATTCCTGGTTTACTGATAGTTAACTTTCAATCCAAATTATTTTCACCATACTGTCAATTAGGAGGGAAGTGCATTGAGAAAATAGTCGACTGCGACATTATAATCACTTAATTGTTTGTATTTTCTATATCAGTATATCTGGCAGGGTATCGCTGGCTGGCATAAAACGGACAGGACCGGGAAACTCGTCCGGGGAGGCTGTCAGGTCTATACCTAAAGACAGTCCCCGCGGACGAACAAGCTCTTGGCGTTCTCCCTTGAACATGTAGTCTGGCCCTCAATCTCTGAGACTGTCCCACTCCGCCTTCCTAGTAGGTGGCGAAGGCGCTGGTTCCACACTGGCATTTCTGACGCCTTCCCATCCGCACGCCGAAAATCAATCGCTATTTTCTGGAGTATCGCTATAATTTTTCTAGCGCGATCAAAGGTTCCTTACCCCCCCCCTCCCCCTTCCCCGCTTGCAACGCCTATTTCGTCGCACTTGCAGCGACTGATGGTGAGAAGTAAGGCTCCTCACCTCCGAAGAGTGTTATACTCACGCCCATCGGCGTAACGACCTTGTTCCCAGCGTGATGGGAACTCCTGATCTCTGGAATTCAGATCCGGGATTTGAAAGCTGTACAGTGGCCAACAGCCCCATTTACCACTGCCCCATCTTCTTGGAAACTGTGTTTGCTATTTCCAGTGTAACGGAAACAAAATATAGCTTGGACTCGCAAACTACGATTAAGAATTAGTGAATATTGACTGGCATGAGCGAAATCTGGTTTGCACAAAGCATGACTTATTTGTTCAGCTATTCTATCATAGGCCACTAAATCGAAAACACCTATATATTATGTACCTGCATGTGAAAACGATCTAGAATACTTGACTGATCGTCGCTTATTGTCGGTTGGTCCACGAGGAATTGAAGATTATCGATTACTACATGATGACACGCACTATTTATCACTTGACTGCGAATAGCCTGCAAAAGATTAGTTGCGATGCTTTCGACTTGGATCATCATTCACTTTGCAAACCGAAGCGATTTGGTTGATGCTTTTCTCCCTGAACTCGTCCACTTTCATTATCGTTAACGGCCCTTTGGTGCGTTCGAATTTATCCAACCACATGTCGATAGCGCTGCTGTATTCGACTCGATATAACGGTACTCTAAAGATAGATCATTTTACCTTAGCAAAAATTGTAACCGAATGGAGCTGTTACAGACAAGTTTGTGTAGGATCAAGCACAGCGAAACAATTCTGAACACATAACGCAACCATTCTAACATTACAGTTCAAAGTGCAGGTGCACTGCGTTTCAAAATCGGACGTTCGCCATCAGGCACGGTAAATTCCCATAGATGGGAGACGGTAAAGAGGATCGTAAT